GGTGTGGATATACTGGGCAGGTTTTAATATCAAAATCAATTTAAGTGGGTATTTGATCTAAGTAGCAGGACTGAGTTTGGGCCTTTTGTTTCTCGTTATTTATAAAGCACCTGCTCAAAGGTAAAAAGCTGAGGGCCACAAAGTTGTTTCTTAATGGAGAATTTCTCCCTCAAAAACATTTAATGAATTACAGGGTGATTAAGTTAATTTCTGCAGTAATTACTTACCCAGCAGCCCATGGGCAGTAAATAAAGCAGGGAGAGAAGAAATGTTCTGTGTCCTGAGCTGGCTCTGGGCACACAGGGGAGAGAGGGAGTTGGATCCAGAGGGAAAATCCTTCCCTGGGAGGGTGAGAAGGCTCTGGAATAAAATTCCCAAAAAGCTGGGGCTGCCCCTGGATCCCTGGCAGTGCCCAAGGCCAGGCTGGACATTGGGAGCTCCTGGGACAGTGGGAGGTGTCCCTGCCATGGCAGGGCTGGGAATGGATGAGTTTTAGGGTCCTTTCCAAACCATTCCATGATTCCATAATTCTGTGAAATTACAGCTTCAGCCTCATCTTCCTCTCTGCTGTCTAGAGAGAATTACAATTTCCAGCTGGTGTCACCCCCTTGAGCTGGGAGCTCTGCTCAGTACAGGAAAACAGGGCTGAGGGAGACATCCCATAAATATCCAACCTTTTTTTAATCCTGATCGTGGCCTGAGGACCAGGAGCATTGCAAGAACAATTTCTAATTAAGAGCTTTATTGAACATACGAGTCATGAAACCTAAAATAAAACAATGGCAGTAAATCAACTCCAACTCTGCTTGAAAGCAGTAATATCAAATTCCAGAAACCAAAACAGAATTGTTGGCTGTTAGGAGATAATCAATGGCCAGGATAAACCTGGCCAAGACTTAAAATGTCAGGGAGCAATTTTGGAGTCTGAGACACCGAGTGTGTGCCCTTGTTCCTGATGCTGAGCTCTGAGATCCAGAAAAGCACTGAATTTCATACAATATGAAATTTATGAGCATCTTTTCATGGTGATACATGAAAACAATTGTTAAAGTGAGATAGAAAAAGCTGAAAGTGTGAGTGTGTAAATTAGAGAGTTTTTTTTAAGTCATTGGTTGAAAAAGTTTAAAATAGTTTAGAAAGCAGAAGACAAGATGGAGGGTTTAGAATGTTGTTTCTTTTCCTTCTTTTTTCTCCTTCATCTTCTTCTTCCAGAGGTTTTTGGGTAGCAGGAGGTGATGGGATAGAAAATGTCACAGTGCAGCTCACAGGTGATGGCTCACTGGGTCATTAATTAAAATAATTTACGTGTCTATTGTTAATTGGGTAAGAATGAGTATAAAGATAAAAGAACTGTGTGTTCAGGGCCATTTTGTGCTTTCAGAGCACAAAGTGAGCCACAAGGCCATTTTTGTACCGTCAGAAGAAAATGAACCAGATTGCAGTGAATTAAACTTGTGCAGAAGTTTGCACAAAGTCTGGAGAGAGCTGCCAGGTTTTGTGATAACATCCCAATAAACACGAGAAACAAAATCCTAACGAGCTTTGGAGTTTGTGTCCTGACCCTGAGGACTGGGATAAACAATTCCCAGTGAGGGAACATCCCAAAGGAGCTGGGATAAACAATTCCCAGTGAGGGAACATCCCAGAGGAACTGGGATAAACAATTCCCAGTGAGGGAACATCCCAAAGGAGCTGGGATAAACAGAATTCCCAGTGAGGGAACATCCCAAAGGAACTGGGATAAACAATTCCCAGTGAGGGAACATCCCAAAGGAACTGGGATAAACAATTCCCAGTGAGGGAACATCCCAAAGGAGCTGGGATAAACAGAATTCCCAGTGAGGGAACATCCCAAAGGAACTGGGATAAACAATTCCCAGTGAGGGAACATCCCAAAGGAACTGGGATAAACAGAATTCCCAGTGAGGGAACATCCCCAAGGAGAGCTCAGAGGAGACTGAGAAATCCAGGAGTGAAAAAAAACTCACAGAAGAAGCACAGCAGAATCAAGAGAGAGAAAAAAGAAACAAAAATAATTTTTAAAAATTACAAGCAAGAGTTTCCTGGTTTGTGCAGGTGGGATCTGAGCCCAAAGCCCCGTTGAAGGGCAGAGCAGCCCTGCCCTGTCTCAGTTTGATGCTCTGTTTGAGATAAACTCAGCCTTGAGCCAATTCTCCTGATCCCTGATCAGCAGCACCCAGCTCAGAGCAGCCCTGTGCTCACTAAAGCTGTGCAGGTGGAAAGTTAATTCCTTCCACCACCTTTGGTGGAAAGTTAATTCCTTTTATCACCTTCAGCTGCTCTGGATTCCTTTCATCCCCTTCCCCTTGGTGTCTCTTTTAGGCCCAGCTTTGGCCAAAAGCTTTTAATCTACACAGGATTTTATAAAAACACTTCCAAAAACCCTCTGGCATTCCCACACCCCTGTTAATGGTCTGTGAATAGAATTTCTGTTTGATTTGAAGTGAGGAGCAGACTCCTCACTTAAAAAATATTATTTAAATATTCCTCATTCCATGTTTGTTCAGTACCGAGTTCACAGTGCCTGGAAGCTGCTCCAAAGGTTTTTTTCTCTATGGAGAGAATAAAACTTCCCTTTCCCTCTTCCCTGTGAGGGTGGTGAGGCCCTGGAATGGAATTCCCAGAGAAGCTGTGGCTGCCCCATCCCTGGAAGTGCCCAAGGCCAACTTAAATAAAACTTGGAGCAACCTGGGATAGTGGAAAGGGTTTATTTTGCTCTTAAATTTAAAAAAAAATGAAGGGAAAATACATTTTTTTTTTACCTGAAGGATTGTCCAGCTGCTGTTTTCACACCTCTCTTGTTGAACTTCCCTTTGGGAATGTCACACACAGCAAGAGTCACCCCTGGAAGTACCAAAAATGGAATTTATCTACAGAAACCACCAGCTACATTTTAAACATGGGGAATTTTTTTTCCCCTGCTTTTTGGCTGAGGAAATAAACAGCAGCTGAAATATCTGATTTTTGAGTTGGGTATTGGTGGGTAGGCAGAGCTCTGGAGCTGTTGAAAAACAATGGAATAATAAGTGGCAAAATTGGTACTTTCTCCCTGAAAATGTATTTTTCATTGCTCCTGTTGTATCTTAAAATTCAGCCTGGAATTCCAATTTCAGCATCTCGAGTTCTCTCAAGAGCAACATCTCAGGCCCAGTAGGTGGCATCAAAAGGATTCTGTAAAATTCAGTGTTTGGGTGTTTGTTCTCCAGCCTGAGGCCATGGAATGAAAACAGAGAGAAAATTCCAGGTGATCCCTTCCTGCCAAAAAGCTTTGGATTGGATGTGATCTGACCCAAATATTACATAAAATGTTAATAAGTGCATTAGAGTTGCATTGAGTGAACAAAAATTAATTGAAATTTTAATTTTTAATTAATTTTTAATTTTTTATTATTTTTTTTAGCAGTACTGTTGCCAGACAGAAGTAATTTTGGATTTTTAAAAGGTTTTATACAGACACTATATAATTTTAATATGTTAAAATTATTTTTATATATTTTTCATGGAATCACAGAGTGGTTCATGTTGGGAGGGACCTTAAGGATCATCCAGTGTCACCCCCTGCCACAGGCAGGGACATCTCCCACTGTCCCAGGGTGCTCCAGCCTGGCCTTGGACTCTTCCAGGGATGGAGGGGGGCATTTAAAATCAAAGAAAAATTAAAATTAAACCTTATATTTAATATTCTATTTTTATTTGTTTTAGTTAAAAGAGGGCATCTGTCACACACACTGCCAAAACACAATTGTGTCTAGAAAAAAGACATTTTTAGGGTGTGGAAAACACCAGGAGGGGCTGAAGGAGCTGGGAAAGGGGCTCAGCCTGGAGCAAAGGAGGCTCAGGGGGCCCTTGTGGCTCCGCCCAAGTCCCTGTAGCCAGGAGGGGAAAGGGGAAAAAAATGAGAGGAAATGGCCTCAAATGGCACCAGGGGAGGCTCAGGTTGGAGATTTGTAAAGAAAATTTCCCTCACAGAGCGGTCAGGCCTTGGGATGAGCTGCCCAGGGAGGTTTGGAGTCCCTGGAATTGTCGCGGTCTGGATGTGGCCCTTGGGGACAGGGTTTGGGGTGGGGCTGGGAGGGGCTGGATGGTCCTGGAAGGTTCTTCCCACCTCAGTAATTCTGGGATTCTGTGCTCACTCTGAGCTGGTATCAGCAGAATCCCTCAGATTGTCCCTGTCAGAGCTCACATCCCTGTGGGTGTCACTGAGGCCTCTCCCTGCATCCTCAGGAGCTCCCTTGGTCACCTCAGCTGCCCGAAGTGCCTCAGTCCCTCTGATTTTCTTCACTCTCCAGCGCAGAGGAGGCTCAGGGAGCAGAGTACCCAGAGAGGGTGTGGATTCCCCATCCCTGGACAGGCCCAGGGCCAGTTTGGATGGAGTTTGGAGCTCCTGGGACAGTGGGAGGTGTCCCTGCCATGGCAGGGGTGGCTCTGGGTGGGCTTTAGGATCCCTCCCAATCCAAACCGGTGTGTTGGGTACACAGCAAGGACAGCAGGATTGTGGCAACTCCTCCATTTCCAGAGATGCAGCTGGGAAGGAGCTGCTGGGATCCAGCTCCTCTCCAGATGCACCTGCCTGCTCCTCCAGTGTCCCCAGGCTGCTGCTTCTCCCTGGCACAGCCTGGCACAGGGTGAGGGTGCCCATCCCAGCACCCAGGGGTCCCCACAAGCCCCCTCCCCTCCTCTGCCCTTCGGGGTGAGTAACACATCAGAGGCAGGACAAAACCAAATGGAGCTGTTGTGCATTCAGCTCCTTTCTAAGCCGTGCTGGCAGCGTTTCAGGGTCATTTTTTGCGAGATCCACAGCAGTTCTGTGTCTCCTGGCTGCCAGCAGCTGCTCTGAGTAGGAGGAAAACCACAATGGCAGCTTTTGAGCAGCTCTCAGCTTTGCCACCTACAAACAAAGCTTTCCTGATAGAAACAAGGCTTTTCCAGCCCAGCAGTCCAGCTGTTCCAGCATTTTTGAGAGTTCTCATCCCCCTGGCAGTGCTGGAGGCACTCCTGCTTTTCCTGGTGCTTGTGGGGCACAGAGCACAGGGATTTACCCAGGGAGATTCCTCAGGTTCAGAGGGAGAACCAGAATTTATCCAGTCCTTGCCATGCACCCCTCGAGCTCCTGCCTGCTCCAGGCCAGGCCCTTTTTTCCAGCCATCGAGCTCTTTGTGAAGGTGAGCACTGTGTGGTGTGATTGTTTATGTGGAGGAGTTTTTGCTGCTGTAGTTGAGATTTGTTTGATAGCTTTGTGTCACGGTGACACTGGTGCTTGGCTTCTTTTCCCAGGACTGAGAGGCTGTTTTCTCGTGTTCGGGCTCTGCTGTTTATTCTTTCCTTATCTATATTACATATACACAAAGAGCTCCACACACTAAGACAATAATGGGAAAATGGAGAGGTGAAGAATCTCTCCAAAGCCTTTTATGTGTCTATTTACCCAATAATCAAATGCCAAGTCATTTATTTTCTTTAGTGACCCCATGACCCAACATCTGTGTGCTGCTGCAATGTGGATTTCTTTATCCAATCCCCTCATATTACCCAAAAACACAAAGAAGGAGAAGGAGAAGGAGAAGGAGAAGAAGGAGAAGGAGAAGGAGAACGAGAACGAGAACGAGATCAAGAACAAAAAGAAGAACAAGAAGAACAAAAAGAAGAACAACAAGGAGAACAAGAAGAAGAAGAAGAAGAACAAGAAGAAGAAGAAGAAGAAGAAGAACAACAACAACAACAACAACAACAACAAAAAGAAGAAGAACAAGAACAAGAAGAACAACAAGAAGAACGAGAAGAAAGAGACAACACCCCAAAGTCTCCATCTTGGATTCACTTATTAATATACCTAAAACTCCAAATTCTATTTTTTCACCCAGTGATTCAGGATAACTCTAACTTACACACTCACATTCCCAGTTTCTTTAGAAGGTGTCTCCATGGTTTTAGGCCAAACTCAGTGCTCTCCTGGGTGCCAGAGCCTCTCAGCACAGATAAAGGAATATTTCCCGTGCCTCTGACTCCAAAAGCATTGAGTGAGGGAAACAGGACAAACAAAATTGGTTTGATTCATGTCTTGTTTGGTTATAAGGGCTGCAAACCTTAAAGAAATAACCTATTAACTGTAAGGCACTTGGGTTTTAATACTCCTGCCCCTGATTTAATCTAAATTTTAAAGCTGTGCTTTAGGAGAATCATGTGAAGGGCTTAAAAATGAAACCCCCAATCTCTTGCAGTGTTACACGAAATCTCACTCAGCAGAACCTCTGCAAGACTTTGCCTCATTTTAACAAAGCCTCTTAACAAATTGCAATATAAATTATCTGAGAGCAACAGTTCATAGCCACCTTCTTCAGGGTTTCAGCCCTTTGGGTTGATAATAATTGATTATTATCAATAATAATTGATTTATTCTGCTTGTTCCCTTCAGTGTTTTAGACATCATACCTCTATTTAGGTTGATAAATATTTCTCTGTTTCTTTCCTGTGCTCATAAACTGATTTAACTCATTTTAATCTTGCAGTGACTCGTGCAGATTTATGTCCACATAGATAAATGAGGTGGAGGCTGTTTCCTTTGGAGGGACTGCTGTGATTTATACACAGATGTGTTTATAATTTGTAATTTTTCCAATTGTAGGCTGGCAGTGATGGGGAAAGTATTGGGAACTGCCCGTTCTCTCAGCGCCTCTTTATGATCCTGTGGCTCAAAGGTGTCATATTTAATGTCACAACCGTGGATCTGAAAAGGTGAGACTGTGCCTTTTATTTCTGAGATTTTACCTTTGTAGCACAACTGTTCCAAAATGGGGATTTTAAAGGGTGACTCTTTTCTGCCAGCCTGGGAGAGCTGGGTGTGTCCAGCCTGGAGAAGAAGCAGTTCTGAGGAGACCTCAGAGTCCCTTCCAGTGCCTAAAGGGGCTCAGAAAAAGGAGGGAGAGAAACTTTTTATAACTTTTTCTTTCCCAGAAAACCTGCAGACCTGCAGAACCTGGCCCCGGGCACCAACCCCCCGTTCATGACCTTTGATGGGGAAGTGAAAACCGACGTCAACAAGATCGAGGAATTCTTGGAGGAAAAGCTGGCGCCGCCCCGGTACCGCATTCCCGGTCCCCTCAGGGTGGGGGGATCCCCAGGGGCTGCTCCAGCCCAGGGGTGACTTTGAACAGAGCTGGAGCTGGGGGTGTCACTGGGGTGTCCCCAGGTTGTCCCCAAGTCACGGCTGTGCCGCTCCCACTGCTGTCCTTCATCCCAAGCTCGCTGCTGGGTCATTCCCAGGGCATGGAATCCATCCCGTGGAAACCTGGGGGCTGCTGCTGAAACCTTTTCCCTGCTTGAGGCTCCCCCTTCACACCACACAAATAATTGTTCTTCCTGGGCAAAGGGAAGCTCAGGGAAACCTCACTGCTCTCTAAAACCACCTGAAGGACACTGCAGTGAGGTGGGGTCGGGCTCTTCTGCCATGTCCCAAGTGAAGGCGTGAGAGGAAATGGCCTCGAGTTATGCCAAGGGAGGTTCAGATTGGAGACTGGAAAAAGGTTTTGCATTCAAGAGTGGTCAGGCATTGGAATGAGCTGCCCAGGGTGGATCACCATCTCTGGAAGTGTTCATCTGTGGCTCTTGGGGAGGTGGTTTGGGGTGGGGATGGTGGGACTGGATGGTGCTGAAGGTGTTTTCCAGCCCTGGTGATTCTGGGATTCGGTGAAGCCGAGGGCAGTGAGCACCTCGTGCACAGTGGATGTGCTGGGGCTCTTTCAGAGTGTCCACGTGGGTCCATCGGGCTGCACAAGGGTCTGAGTTTTGGATTTGGCTCCCCCATCCAAGCAGCTCTTCCCACCTCGCCCCAAACCCCTCTGCCCTCCATTGTCCCAGCATTGTGTCCCCTACCCCACAGAGCTCTTCTCCTCTGGGATATCAGTCCCCTCCTTGCACTCCCTTCTCAAGCAGCCAAACCTGACTTAAACCAGGGAAGCAGCTCCTTGTTTCCAGTTTTTTCCATTTTTATCCATCCCTGGCAGCTCCAGCTCCTGGAATGGTGCTGTCAGCTTGCTGATGCCCCGTGTGGGCCGGGCCAGGAGCCTGAGAGGAGCAGCAGCTCCTTCAAGTGAGGATTTTCCCTCCAGGAACCACATTCCAGGCAGCCTCACCTCTGGAGGAGAAAGCCTGGAAGACACCCTGGGATATTTAGGCGGTGCTTGCAGCAATAAGCATCATTTCTCATTGCCCTCAGGAAAAGATTATTTAGGGAGGGTTTAAAATAAGTGATTTTTAGTTTAGGATGGTTCCCTTTGAGTCCTGTGTGGCTCTATGTTGTCACCCTACAAACAAATATGCATTAATTAGTGGAGACAAAAATAAAAGATAATTGGGTCACTTCTTTTTGTTTCCCTGAACTTCTCAGGTATCCCAAACTTGCACCGAAGCACCCTGAGTCGAACTCTGCAGGAAATGACGTCTTTGCAAAATTCTCTGCGTTTATAAAGAACCCAAGAAAAGATGCAAATGAAAGTAGGTGCTGCAGTCCTGCTGTCAGCCCTGGGAGGGATAAACCAGACCTGTGCAGTTGTAGGACACTGTTGGAGATGTCCCATTTCCAGCTCAGGTTAAACAGAGATATTCCAGAGTGTGGAGGCTTTGGAAATTTGTGCCTCCTTTAATCAAGGATTCCAAGAGTTGGTGAAAGCAAAAACTGCTGTGACCATGGGATCACCAATTCCACCTCACTCCTTCAGCTCTGGGTCTGCAGAGGCTGCACCTTCCCCACACCTTTGTCCCCACAGCTTTGCCAAAAGCCCTCTGGAATTAAGAGATTCTCCAGCCCCTTGGCACATCCCTAAAGCAGGACCCTCACGAATGGCTCTAGGCTGGAGGAGGGCAGGGTGAGATGAAACATTAGGGAGAAATCCTCTCCTGTGAGGGAGGGTTTGAGGAGCCATTCCTGGTAACGTGGCCCCAGGATGGTTTTTCCCAGAACTCCCTTTAGCTCCTTAGAGCCCTTATCCCAGCATTAAGGTTTAAGCCTAGGATCAAGGAATTGCAGGAGTTGGCACAGCCAGATGTCTGGGCTGCTGCCAGGAGACAGGATGCAGGAGTCGCTCGGTGTCACAGGGACCTTGGTACAGGCTTGAATGATCTTTTTATTGTCTTAACCCAGATTTGGAAAAATCTTTGCTTAAAGCCCTGAAGAAGCTGGACAACTATTTAAATAGCCCCTTGCCCGATGAAATTGATGCTTACAGCACGGAGGAGATCACTGTTTCCAGCCGGAAATTCCTGGATGGAGATGAGCTCACTTTAGCAGATTGCAACCTCCTACCAAAGCTCCACATAATCAAGGTTTGCATTTGCTTTTTTAGCCTCCTGGAGAGCAGGGAAGCACAGCAGCTGAAGTCCTTTTCCAGATGGCAGAGGGATCCTTTCTCTGAGTGCACACCCAGGGACACTGAGGCCATTTCCTTGCAGCACAGCCAGGGTGATCCTCACTTGGATGGCTGCAGGTCTGCAGGAGCTGTTTCGTATCTGTGCTCTGACTGCAGTGGCTGAGCTTCTCACAGCCAAAGGGTGAAATGAGTGCTGAATTCAGGCCTGCAGAGAAGTGTTCTCATCTGCATTTCACATGCAAAGTGCACATGACCACAGCCAAGGAAGGTTATTGTATTGTCCATCCCAATTTCTGTCTCTTCCATGTTTAATTTCAAGTTCTGACAGGGTGGCCTCCACCCACTGCCTCTTAGGCAAGGCTCCAAGTCTCCTCTTGCAGGGCTGTGGAGCATCCACACACACCTGAACAGCTCCAGTGACCTGGGACTGGTGTTGTCACAGCCTACGATGATGGAGAGGGATTTTTCACAAAGGGCTGCAGGGCCAGGAGCCAGGGAATGGCTGCCAGTGGCAGAGGGCAGGGCTGGATGGGATCTTGGGCAGGAATTGTTCCCTGGCAGGGTGGGCAGGGGCTGGGATGGAATTGCCAGAGCAGCTGGGGCTGCCCCTGGATCCCTGGCAGTGCCCAAGGCCAGGCTGGACATTGGGAGCTCCTGGGACAGTGGGAGGTGTCCCTGCCATGGCAGGGGGGGAAGAAGATGAGCTTTAAGGTCCCTCCAACCCAAACCATTCTGTAATTCTGGGATTCTGGGATTCTGGGATTCTACTCTGCGAGGCTCTGGAAGAGAAATGACCACACTGGAATTCCATTGATTTTCAAACAAGGTCACTTCAGGAAGTTTCCTGTTACACTCCCACTCTGTCAGAGGAAGAGGGGATCCCATCGCTTTCCAACACCTCCACTAGTGAAAACTTTGCCCAGCCATCTCCTGGCTGATCCTATCGCAGACAGCAGCCAGGGATGAGCCCTTTCCCACACTCAGGCACAGCAAACCTTGGGAAGCAGCCGGGGCCAGCACAGGGGAGAATCCCCTCGGGTCAGGTGAATTCGTGGAGAAGGACAGAGGAGGGAATGCCACCCTGTCACATCACCCTTGCTGCCTGCAGGCAGGGATTAGGGCTCAGCCAAGAATTGTCTTCCCTGATCATTTGAAATGAAGGGATTTAATTCAATCTTTTCCGGTTTCACTGAAAGTTTCCAAGTATGGGCCAATTTATTCCTGTAGGATTATTCTGTTAATTCAGGTTTATCTTTGCTGGGTTAAACTGTATCTCTTCCAGTTTGTTCTATTGCTCCACATGGCTTTGCATAACTTTAGCAAGATAGATATAGACACAAATAAATCCTTTAAAGGGAGTTCAGCAGCTTTCTACATCCCATGTCTTCTTTTTATGTTTTTCCCTCTTCTTTCCCAAAACCACCAGATTCACAAACTGGAAATGAAAAATGGGCATAAAGAGTAGGCTTGGGATGTTTGGGATTTTGCACATTATATGTGTAATGATGTTTTTCTTTTCTTTTTTCTTCTCTTTTAATGAAAGGTTGTTGCAAAAAAATACCGAAATTTTCATTTCCCACCCGAAATGACAGGGATTTCCAGATACTTGAAAAACGCGTATGCGAGAGATGAATTTACAAACACGTGCCCTGCTGACCAGGAGATTGAATATGCATATTTGGATGTGGCAAAAAGAATGAAGTAACCAGAAGATGCCTCTGTTTATTGTTTCTGTGATTGGCAACAGCCAAGCTGGGAAAGCAAAAACCAGCAGAGATTCTGCGGTGTGATTTTAAGTTCTGCTATTGGCCAATCCTTTTATAATGATTGTATTGCATTATTTACTCCTTCTTAAATTGTGTGTGTGTGTTTGTGTGTTTTGCACGCTGGAAAGTCAGTAGTTATTCCAAGGAAAAGGCATCCATCAATAGTAAAGATCTGTAGGATTTTGGGAAGCAGTGTAGGTCGCACAATTACAGCAATAGCACAGTCTAAACTGCTGCATTTTGGGATGAAATAGGCCTGTTGGAACACCCTGAACATGCTGACCCTGGTCTCTACTTCACACTTCTGGCCAAACTTCACCTTTGACTGGATGGTTTCTATCTGCTTCACTGCCCTGAACCAGCAGCCCCTGAGTGACCCAGGGGAGAGCCCAACCTGCAGCTGGGACCACACCTGATGTCCCCCAGGCCTCTCCTGTGGGCTGGAGCCTCGCAGGGCAGCTCCACCAAGAACAATTCCTTTTCCCATTGCAGGAGTCTCCTTTGGTGTGGAAAAGAATGAAAGAAAGAAAGGAGAATTGCTGCCTTCCCCTCTCTCAGGGCTGCAGAAGTGCCCAAACTTTCACCTGCTGCTCCCACAGAGAGGAACGCTGGCCTAGGGACTCTCTGCTCTTGGATATTGGGCAAGGGAGGGAGGAGACACTGGGTTGTGCCTGGGGACACAAGAAATGGGTGAACATCCAGTCCAAATACTCTCATGTGGCATTTGTCACCCTGCAGTGATTCTTCTTTGCTTTTGGAAAGCAGAGAGGAGGAGGAGGAGGAGGAGGAGAGGGCCTAAGGAAGGAACAATCCTTCTGTACCCCCTGCCAGGAGGGGCTGGCAGGTGCGGGTGGGGTCCTGCTCCCAGAGAACAGCAACAGGACAAGGGGAAACGGCCTCAGGCTGGGCCAGGGGAGGCTCAGGGTGGACAGCAGCAGGAATTTGCCCATGGAAAGGGAGCTCAGGCCTTGGCAGGGGCTGCCCAGGGAGCTTTGCAGTGCCCATCCCTGGAGGTGCCCAAGGAAGGGCTGGACGTGGCACTCAGGGCTCTGGGCTGGGGACAAGGTGGGCATTGGGCTGCCCAGCCCTGCTGCAAAGGCTTCCCAGCACACTTCTCTCTCAGCCGGCCTCAACGGGCGCCTTTCGTTTGCCTGCAGAGAGCAGGGCCAGCCCTGCCCTGCCGGCCCAGCCGGGAACTCTCCCGCTGCCGCTGGGGCTCAGCACTCCCTGCTCACAGGGGACTCACTGGCACCCAGAAAATCCATGGGCACCTCGCACAGACGGGACATCAAATCTGGAGACGCTTTTCTTGGGCCTTACAAACTTGCTTAGCAAAAATAGACAAATTCTTCTCTTACTGCAACAGTGTTCTCTCTTTATCTAGAAATTTTCTGGGACATTATAATATGTCATAATTAATCACATTTTTTATTCATATTTTTATATCAGAGACTGTAGTATAAATATACAATATGTAAAAATACTAATTATATGCTAATTTAACTATTCATTAAATTTTATCTTCATTTATGTATTCCTAAATTTTTATTCTCATTCTGCTAATCTTCTTCTAAAACTCCTTCTGTATATTTTTTAATTCTTACTCTTATTAATATTCTTCTTTATATTTTGTCTTCTACATCTTTTTTGCTTTCGCCTTCATCTTCTTGGATGTATCTCCATCCTCCTCTTCCTGTTCCCGTTGGTGTCCCAGCTCCCGTTGGTGTTGGCCGCCCCGTGTGAGCCGCAGTCCTGCCGGGAGGGAGGCTGTGGGAGCAATCCCTGCTCTCGGTGCCCTGTTTTACTCCTCCGGCTGTGGCCTCAGGCAGGGCCACCGGAACAGCGCCCGCAGCGCCCGCCTGAAGCGGGAGGGACGTCTCCTGGGGACAACCGGCTGCTCACAGAGGGCCTGGGCTCCCCAGTTTGCAGCAGATGAGGACGCAGAGCTTATCAAAGGACACAGGACAGTTCCAGTGAACTGTCGCCAAGGGAAGCAAACAGCGTCCCCAGAGCTGCTGCCTGTCTGGGGGAAGCGGCTCCCTGGATGGCTCTGCAGCAGGGGGTGGAGGAGACAGATGAAGAGATGGACAAGGAGAAAAGGAACCCCAACTCCCAGCCCACCCAAGGCAAACTGCTGAGCCAGAGGAGGAGACCAAGAGTGAGGGATGAGGCAGGAAGGAGAGGCCAGTGGACGGAGAAGGCCAGGATCTTCTCTGTGCCAAGAGAGCCGTCTCCGATTTCCTCATCCTCATCCTCATCCTCCTCACAGGTGCCCCTCAAGCTGCCACCGGTGGAGCTCAGGCAGCCAAAGGTGGGACCCAAAAACCTGAACAAACCATCGGTCTCACCAATGGAGCTCAGGCAGCCGCAGGCAGCACCGCAGGGCAGCCGGAGCCGGGCCCTGTCCCACTGTGGGGACAGGCTGCCAAGGCTGCCACTGCTATGATCTCCGCCACTGCCACTGCTGCCACCACTGCCCTGCCTGGTGAGTCCCAGGGACACTCGCAGCCAGGGCACAGAGCTGGGGAGCGCAGGAGAGAAGGGGCCCCAGCCCTGCAGCCCCTGTCCTGGGCAGCCACACACCCCCGTGCCCAGGGTGCTCTTGCCCCCGCTCAGGGTGGCCCAGGAGGGCACAGCCCGTGTGTCCCCGAGCTGGCAGCTGCAGCCTGTGCCACCCATCCCCTCGGGAGCTTGAACCATGGAGCGCAGCCTCACGGGCACAGCTCCAGAAAGAGCAGATTACAACGAGCTGTCCCAAGGGGAAAATGTCAGTGACCCAGAGCTGTCCCCAATGACTGAGGACATCGAGCTCTCTCCAGGTGACAGCACAAGTGACCAGGAGCTGTCCCCAGTGAATGACAACGAGCCCTTTCCACTGGAAAAATGCAGAAGTATCTACATAGACGTAGACACAGTAGAAGTCAAAGTAGTAGAAGTTGTTATTGAGGCCATTTGAGGTGACAGCATAAGTAACAAGAAGCTGTCCCCAGCAGAAAAGGCCATCCATGACCAAAAGGTCATTTCAGGGGGCAGCCTGACTGACAAGGAGCTGTCATTAGTGGAAGAAGCCATCGAGGCTGAGGGTATCCAAGGGGCGCAGAGCCCTGGGGTGCTCAGTCCCAGGAGAGCCGCTCTCTCAGGAAGAAGCAGCTCCCTGCATCCGTCTGCACTGCAAGACATCACATTACATAGAGGATGGACAGCAAGAAGGTGAACCCCAACTCCCAGCCTGCCCAAGGCCACCTGCTGAGCCTGCGAAGGAGGCCAAGAGTGAGGGATGAGGCTGGAAGGAGAGGCCAGTGGATGGAAAAGGCCAGGATCTTCTCTGTGCCAAGAGAGCCATCTCCATCCCACGTGTCCTCATCCTCCTGCACTTCACTGATGCCCCTCAAGCTGCCACCAGTGGAGCTCAGGCAGCCAAAGGTGGGACCCAAAAATGTTTGCAAATTCAAGGTCTCAAGCAGGGTTAGGGTTAGGGTTAGGGTTAGGGTTAGGGTTAGGGTTAGGGCCTGGCTGATGAGGAGCTGTCCTCAGCAGAAGAGGACATTGAGGTCCTTCCAGGGGACAGCACAAGTGACCTGGAGCTGTCCCCAGCAGAAGAGGCCATCGTGGTCGTTTCAGGGTACAGCCCGACTGATGAGGAGCTGTCCTCAGTGGAAGAGGACATCGAGGTCGCTCCTGAGGACAGCACAAGTGATGTGGAGCTGTACCCAATGGAAAGTGACAAGGAGCACTCCCGAGGGGACAGCAAGAGTGACAAGGAGCTGTCCCCAGGTGAAAGGGAGTGTGAAAAAGAGCTGTCCCAATGGCTAGAACATGAAGCTGGAGAGCTCTCCCAATGGGAAGAACAAGAGGATGAAGAGCTCTGCCATTGGGAAGATGAGGATGAAGCACTCTCCCATAGGGAAGAATGTGAGGTTGAAGAACTGAGAAGGATGGCCCTGCTTGGTGGTATGGACAGAGATTCAAGCTCATCACCTGAACTGCCCGAAGTGGAGGAGATATCAAGACATCAGAAGGTGCTGGAATGGCTGGAAGCCAATTTCCCCAATGATTATGGTGATGAGGAGGAAGAGAAGGAAGCTGAAAGATATCAAAGAATGCAATGGTGCAAGCAGAAGGTGGAGGCCCAATGGCGAGAGCTGTTGGACTCCTTGTCACTTCTCAGTTTCAATCTCAGTGACAACGTGCATTCCAAAGGGGAGCAGTGCAAAGACCAAGAGATGTCCCAAGGGGAAGATGCCATCCAGAACAACATCTGCAATAAACCCTTGGTTGATGATGAGGAACCCCTGGAGGGACCCAGCTGCTCCAGGCATGTGGGTGCAGAGCTGGCAGCAGAGGCAGCCCGTGCCCTGCCCAGCGCCTCTCCCGCCCTATGGAGTCCCACGGACACCGAGCTGGCAGCTGCTACCCCGGCCAGAGCTACTGAGGAGGAGGAAGAGCCCCCCACCCCTGTCACTCCAGAGGACAAAAAGGCAGCAGCTCTTCCTGTCCTCATAAGGCAAAACTTTCCATTGATAGCGCTCCACTAGTGCAGCGTTACTAATGGATGGCACCCTAGAAGCAAACCTTGGGGTATCATTTCAGTGGAGAGGAACAGTACACAAACAATCCTTTAGATTCACTGTCCTTATGTCCCAATTGACAGGAATCATCCTAGGGAATGGCACGCCTGCTTGTAGGGCTCCCATGCTTTCCATGACTACATTGATTTCCCTTAGGTCACACAGCAACCTCCATTTCCCAGATTTGTTTTTGATGACAAATACTGGGGTGTTCCAAGGGCTCGTAGATGGTTCTGTGTGCCTTTGAATCAGTTGCTCTTGCATTAAAGTTTTGAGGGTATGTAATTTCTCCTTTTCTTGGGACCACTGTGGCACCCACACAGGCTGAGTGGCGAGCCATTTTAGGGCTTCTGTGGGATATTTCACACCTTTTAAAACAGCAGTCCCTGTTAAAAATCCCTTCCTACCCCAACTCCCCATGCAGAAAGAACATCCCTCCCCCACAGGCTGAGTGCTGCTGCAGT